TCGTGCTTTCTGGACCCTGAGGTCCTTGTCTTGTTGAAAAAATCGAAGATAAAAAATGAGTTTCTTTGTAAAATTTTAATTTCAAGTGTTTTCCGGGAAGGGAACCGGAAAGAGTTTTTGTATTGTCATTTTGTATAGCTGCTTGACTAATACGGTTAATTCTAGGATCCAGATTTGTGTTGAAGTCACCTGCTATAATGTTTAGAGCATTTGTGTCCAGTATTGAGGCCCAGTTGTTAAAAAATTGACATCTGTTCTCATGGTTTGGTAGAGTATAGATATTTGTAATAGCATATCGGCAGTGCTTGTATGTTAGTTTTGTTGAGATTACTCAATCACTATGTAAGACTTGTATTTCAAAAAACCTGATGTTTGCTTTTCCAGCCAGAATGGCTGTTTTGGAGGTCCAAATTGAGTCATATTCCCATTGCTGCGAAAGAAATCTTCTTGTTGTGGTATCTTTGAGATTTGTTTCTTGTAAAAGTATTAAGTTTAATTTGTAGGATTTTAGTAAAGTTAATATTTTTTGGCCTTTGTGTTATTGTTAAGGCCTTTTACGTTCAGTGTGGCAATTTTGATCATGGATAATCAATGTATATTAAGCCACACTTGTAGTTGTTCTATTAGTTAAACGCGAGGAGAAGAAACCCTTTGAGAGTTGTTCTCCTTGTCTGCTTTGTTGACTCTAGTAAATGGAGAGTAGCCTTCTTTCTTGGTCTTGTTTTTATATTTTCCTTTTCTTGAAATAACTAGAGTGAATTCTTTTTCGTCGTTGTTGTTCATTTCCTTGTGAGATATGAAATCTGTTTCTATATCTGTTGCTAAATTCTCATTTGTAGATATATTTGTGGCTTCTAGTTTGTTTTCAGTTGTTTCTATCTCATTTGTTTCTGCTGTTGCTTCTGTAGGATTGAATTCTTCTGTCTGGATTGTCTCTGCCATAGTTGTCTTTGTTACTGGTTGGAGTATTTTTTGTGTTTCTGTGAAGCTTTTATCAGTACTTTCTAGAACCATTTCTGAAACATAAAGGTTTTCTGAACTGAATTGCAATTGTGTTTTGGGTTCCTCTTGGCTCTGGCTCTCGGTCTTAAGTTCTCTTTGTTTTTTATACTCTTTCAGTCTTTGTCTTAATTTGATTAAGGCCTTAGATCTTTACAGTCTTTCTTGATATGTCGCAGTAATAGCATACTTTTGGGCTTCTTTCTAGTTTGTTGAAACTTTATAATCACCCACATGTATGTATCTAGAAAGTCTTTGAGCTAGATCAAGGTCTTTTGTAGTTTCAAAGGTAATGATCTATTGATCTGTGCATACTGATGTTCTCTCAAATAGAAGTAGTTTGATCGATGCAATAGTGCCTACATCTTGGAATGCTGTTTTGACCAATTCATTAATATGTTCTTTTTCTCTCATTGGCATGTTTCTTAGCTTTACTGAAAGGAAAGAGCATTTGAGATTTATTAAGATATAACCAAACAAGGTTTGGTTAAAAATGCTTATTCCTTCTGATATATAAAGCTTCTGTTTATCTTTGTTAACAAAGACAGCTTCTAGAAAAGTACGTTTTACCTAAGCAATGAAATAGAAGAATCTAATCTTAACTCTATAGAACAAGATGAAACTTCTTTCACAACAGTAGTAGCAAGAAAATACAAAGGCAAAAGCTTTAAAAAGAACAACCAGCACAAGACCCAGCTATATGGAATATCAGGAAGTTCTAAGCAGAACTTTCTGGGACCTAAGAATTATCACTAAGAGAATTATCTCTTAGTGTAGCTTACAAATTCTA